GTTTAGTCTCTATCCATTCATAGCATTGTCCTCTTAGCTGATTTCCAGTTTTATAGTATTGCGATCAAAGAAGGTACTAAGTAGAATTTCAATATTTGTAGCTTTATTGACAGTTGATTTGTGGCCAATTTCTGATCTAGTCTTAAAGATGTCCCATATACAGTAGTTTTGGGATAATGTGTTGCATAGATGTGTTAGACATATTTGGTCAGGCTCTTTATTTGCAGCTGTTGTTTTCTTATTTATATTATCTTATTGATGTGTCCATTGTTGTAAGTGGTAGAATAATGTTCTTCCCCCACCTCCATATTACTGTGCTGTTATCAATCTCTCTGTAGCTCTATTGTGTTATCGTGGTGATCCCCTAAATGGTGCATATATGAGTGTTATTTTTGCTTGTTGTATTAGACCCTTAATCACAATATGTGTCTTTCTCTCTTCTTCCCTTTCTTAAAGTCTGTTTTCATCAGATGTAAGTTCCTGATTTTTTGTTTGCCATTTGCTTGTATAACTGTCTACCAATCTTCAATGCTAAGTCTGTGCTTGTCTTTGTTGGTGTTTTTTCAAAAAATCTGCTGATAGTCTGATTGGTATTCCCTGTGCTTGCCTTTGTTGGTAAGACGAATTTCTGGTAAACAGGAAGATGGCTGGGCTTTATTTTGAAAGCCATTCAATCATTCTGCATCTTTTGATTGGTGAGTTCAAATGACTTACACTTAAGGTGATTTTTGAGACTTTTGTTTATTGGCATTTTGTTAAGCTTTAGTTTCTTTCATGCCTCCCCCCCTATTTTTAGGGTTTCTTGTTAAGTTTTCTTTAGGTTCCATTTCCATTATCTCATGTGCTACTTCTCCCTTTTTGTTTGAGGACTCTACTGAATTTAGTATGATGTATTCTTTGTATATGATCCAATGGATAGTCTGGTCTCTGCAGGTGCTAATGGACCATATTGTTACTGATTCCTTAACTCCCACCATGTTAGTTAATTTACATGTCTTTTGCCTCAATATTCATTGTTCTTTTGCTGTATAATAACCCTTGTGGGATTTCTTTCACATGTTGCTTGGTATTGATAATTCCTCTAGTTTTTGTTTTCCAGTAAAATTCCTTTCTCTTCCAGGCCCTCCCTGGTGGCGTAGTGGGTTAAAGCACAGCACAAAGAAACTAAAGCCACTTCCACATGAGTGTGATCCTACCTGCCCCAGAGGTGACCCAAATGGCGTGGCAGACCTCCCCTGACCTGCCTGCTGCTCCCCTCAGCAGTGTACGATCTGCCTTTTCTGCTCCCCACTCTGTCTCTGGTGAATCCTCTCACCGCCCCTGCACTTTTGGCCTGAATCCCCCAATTCTGTATGCACAAATAAATCTTTAAAAAAAAAAAAAATTCCTAACTCTTCCTTCTGTCCTGACTTTTAACCTTACTGGGTAGAAGATTCTGGGCTGGAATTTTTTTCCTTTCAGTACTTTGAATATCTCTTTCCAGTCCTTTGTGTTTACAATGTTTTTTAAAAAAATCTGTTGATACAAAGATATACAAGAACTGATGAAACTCAACAAAAATAAACAACCCCATCAAAAAATGGACAGAAGAGCTAAAAAGACACTTCTCCAAAGAGGAAATGCAGATGGCCAACAAGCATATGAAAAAATGTTCAACATCACTTGTAATAAGGGAGATGCATATTAAAACCACAATGAGATACCATCTCACACCAGTGAGAATGGCACATCTTCAAACAACTAGCAACAACAAATGTTGGCGAGGATGTGGAGAAAAAGGAACTCTCCTGCACTGCTGGTGGGAATGCAAACTAGTACAACCACTATGGAAAACTTTTTTTGCAGGTTTCTCAAACTGTTTGGAGGTTTCCATATGACCTAGCAATCCCACTCCTAGGCATCTACCCAAAAGACAAAAAAGCACTGATTCAAAAAGACATCTGCACCCCCATGTTTATTGCTGCTTTATTTACAACAGGAAAGACATGGAATCAACCCAAATGCCCAAAAGCAGATGACTGGATTAAAACTACTTGGTACATATACACAATGGAATATTACTCAGCAACCAAAAAAATAAATAAATAAACACATGCCTTTTGCAGCAACATGAAGCTGGAAGGGACCATGCTTAGTGAAATAAGCAAGAAAAGGAAAAATACCAAATGATTTCCCTAATAGCAGGATTATAAAGGACCAGGAGAGAAAATAATAATGAACAACTATATACCAGAGACATTTTATGGGGGTGAGGTGGGGAATGGGATCAAAAATGGGGCATGGGGAGAAGTGCACTAGACTATGGTGATGGCACCGGTGATTTGGTGATGGGAAGCCCACGGGGACAACTGAGATGGAAAAAGGCACAGAATGATGTAAAAATAAACTATTATATTATTTTTTAAAAATCTGCTGATAATCTGATGGTATTCCCTTATAGGTTACCTAGTTTTCTCTTGAACTTTTTATTATTCTGTGTTTAACACTGGTTCTCAACAACTTTATTGTTGTGTGTGTCTTGGTGTATGCCTACCTGGCATGACTGTTTGGAACTCTTTGCGTCTCTTGGACCACATCTGATTCATTTCCCAGAGTGAGATGGTTTTCAGTGATTATTCATTAAATAGGTGTTCCACACCTTTCTTTTTCTGCGGTCCATAGTTCTCTTCTGTGGATGTATTTCCCTTTACATTGTCTCAGAGAGCACATACACTTAGTTGTCAAAATTCTTTTCCATACCTTATTCTATTGTGTTCTCCAGTATTATTTTCAAGTTCATTAATTCTCTCCATTTTTTCTTTGTCCATTAAGGTCCTCAATTTTATCTTTTAAGTCAGCAATAGTTACTTCTTAACCCCGTTATTTCTGAATATAGTGCCTCCTATTTTCATCATCATGCTGTTCTGTTGTTTAGTTCCATACACACCACTAGGACTGTTGCCCTGAATTCCTCCTGTATCAAGCACCACTCCAGAGTGGGGGATACGTTCAGGGTTTTGTTGTTCTCCCATCTGTACAGGGTTCTTCTATCTCCTCATTTTCAGTCTTGTATGGGTTTTAATGTGGATACATTTTCAACTGTTATTTTTGTACTTGTTGGAGGAGTTGGGGGAGTGGTACCAACCAAGCAGGAGGTATGAAAGAGGACCAGGGAAGCAGGCATCAAGGGGTCACTGCTGGCCTCAGAAATTGGCCATTTCTGTTGTAAACATTTCTTGTGGGGGAGAACAAATGTTTTTGAATATTTCAGCAGCAGGTGTGTCACATATGGACTCAGCAGTAGCCTCTTTTATAAGGAAGTCCAGGCGTTTGACCCAACTCATGTTACCATTGTTTGATGTTAGGAACGTCAGATTGAAGCCAGTCCACCTTTCTCTGTGGCTCTCTGGCCCACGGACCCAGAAGTAAAGTGAAAGGTGGGTGTGATGCAGACATGAGCTCACCCTGAGCAGAGATGCCGTCCTGGTCAAATTTTTAGCTTGAACACGTGCTCTTGGCATCTCCCAGTGGGCTCAATCTAGATATGGGTCTCACTATGGCAGACAGCTTCCTTCCAGTCTCCTTTGCCAGGGCCTGAGGGAAGAGCCCTCAATTCTGTTTAATAGGAGGGTAGAGGAGTACCTCTTAGGTATCATTCTGGCTGCCAAGTCACCTCTGCCGGAGCGTTGCCTGTTAGGGAGGTGGAATGGCTGTTTGGAATCCAAACCCAGAATCCTGGGCAGCTTTGAGAACTGCAAGTGTCTTTGCATCTTTTATTGGCCTTTCAGTGCCAGTAAAAGAGACAGATGAGTCCTAGCGCATGCTGTGTGGGTGCTCAGGACTGGCTTTGGCCCACCCCCCACAGTCAGGCAGTGGCTCCACAGGCTTCCTTCCAGTTCCCTTGGGTGATGACACCCCAGGGGCCAAATGGTAAGGAGGCCTGGCATCTAGGTCTCACTGCTGGCCTTCCTGGGGCCCATCTGAGACTGGAGGACGGTGTGAGCAGTAACCTAAGCGTCTCAGCCTGGTCCATTCTTAGCGAGTCAGAAGTGGGAGAAGGGGGCATTCTGAACCTGGAAGATGAGACCTCTGAGGATGTGAAGACAAGAGACATGGGTGATTCATAGGTAGAATGTTAATAAGCCCCAGGAAAAAGTCACCCAGGTGGGCTGTTTCAGGTCTGCACAACCAATTTCTCACAGAGCCCTGGAGGACAAAGTACAATCCCATTGTTTCCCGACAGGGGTCTGGAAGAGCACAGAAAGGCCAAAGTCCAAACCAACTGACCTGGCCTCTGCCCAGCTAGGAGACTCACAGCAGGGAATTTTTGACACACTACCTCAAAGAGGAAGTGGGGGTGCTAGGAAGGAACAGCAGCTACAGGAAACAGCCTGCTTGAGGGTGAGAGGTTGCAAGTTCCTCAGAAACTGGCCTGGCTCTGGCACCATTTTCTAAATGGCACTGAGTCCTGTTGGCACCAATCTTTGGGATCTCTCTGTGGATAAAATGTCTCCCCCATTTAAGACTTCCAAGACTGAGGAGATTGATACATATTCCACACAAGACTCCTCACCTTCAAGGATGCAAATCCAACCTGACCCTGCTCAGGCAGAAAAGCAAACACTAGAATGGGGCATCTGAGGAAGGGCCTATGTGTGGTCTGCTTCAGTGAGGACAAGAACTAACTCATGTCCTCAGGAAGCTTTTCCTATTTCTGCTCTCCCACAGATACCACCAGGCAGGAAACTACCTCTTCACAGATCTGAACATGACATTTCTTTGGCCACCCCCAGCAGAGTGGAAAACCCATGGAGCAGCTCTGACTGCATTAGCTGAGGCCAGGTAGCCTCTGGACAACCTGTGGTCAGGGACTTCAAGCACGCTGTTTGGCTGTCTGTCAGGTGTGTCTCTCTGGACCAGAGCATGTCGGAACCTTGAAGGAAAAACTGGAGCCAGGCCAATGCCTCATCTGGGGTCCACGACAGCAGCAGGGATTCCCGAACTCATCTGCCGAAAACTGGATTCCTAAAGGTCTTAGTGGCTGTCAGATGCCGCAATCAAAAAGGCACCATCTTCTAGTTTAATTAAGCAGATGTTTATTGAGCACCTATTAAGTGCAAGGCACTGTGCTAGGTGCCATGGAAAATACAAAGAGTGAACACAAACGATCCCTGCCCGCGAGGAGCTCACAGTCTAGAAAGGGAGTAAGACACAGTACACGATCAGCTGCAGTGCCACCAGCCAGCGGGGTAGGTACCCAAAGCAGGACACAGTGCGGTGGGGTCACAGAACACTACAGGGGTGGCTTCCGTTCAGAAGCGTGGGGCAAGGGCGCAAAGACTCAGGGCTGGGACTCTGAAGGGGAAGTCGTTGGGGAAGGGCATCGCCAGTGGCGGGGGACGTTTGCAGGCAGGAGCCTACAGGTGACTGTGAGGGTGTGTGGTGTGTGAGTGACGGGCGCAGGTGAATACAGCAGACTAGTACAGCCGGGGGGTGAACAGTCAGTCTTAACTCAGGGAGTCTGAACTTATACTCTGGGTATCACTGGGCGGGGAAAGGGATGGCATCTGGTAGATAATCTAGCAGTGCCAGTGTTTTCTGGAAAGGAAAACAACTGAGAGGTGGGCTGACTGGTCAGGGGCTGACACGCAGGAAGGTCGTGAGAACACAACAGGTGGGCCGCGGCAAGACAAGGATGGGGGGGCGGGGGGAGGGGGCCGCATGGCATGGCGGGGCGGGGTGGGAAGAATGAGGAACAGATGCAAGCAATGGCCGGGGAGCAGCTGAGGATGCTGCAGGCGTTCTGGACAGAGCTGGACACACAGCCCTGAAGGGCAGGGCCAGTCACTGCGGAGAGGGAACGCAGCACTTAGGGCAGAGGGGGCTAAGGGACCACCCGCAAGGGACTCGCCAGGGAGCGTGCAAGCAGCAGATTCCCAGGCCTTACTCCCCAGCTACTCAATCAACACCCCCGGGGTTGTGCCCCGTCGTCTGCACTTTCTATAGCAACTGCCCCCACTGAGTCCCAGAGTGGGCACAGTCTGAGAACCTCCTGTGGAGAAAGCCTGTCAAGGACTAGTCTAAGAGCAGAAAGAGGAACCAAGGCCATTTAGGAGTGAGGGGAATCCCGGAAAACATTGTCACGGTGTCAGATGTGATGGCCAGTGAGTGTGGACGCCACTATTGTGGGGTGCGAAGAGGCCTCTGAAACAGCAGGCAGGCAGCCCGCCTCCTCCTCGAGGCCATGTCTACACGGTGGCTGGGTGGCAAGGTAACGTGGCAAAGCGGACTCTTAGGGAAGTCAGTTATTTTATTTTGATCCGAAGGACCTCAGACTGTGGGGGGAAGTGGGGAGGTAGATAATGAATTCAAGTGAGTCAGAATAACGGACAACTACATCAGAGGATGAGCCAGGGCTCAGGGATGCGGACGGTGCGGAGCGGAGGTGCTGGCAGGGCAGCGGGCCAGGGACCGCGACACCCGCAGGCGGCCACAGTGTGAGGAATGTGAGGCTGGGAGAAGGCTGCCAGGCTCCTCCTCAGAGGCCCGAGCTGGAGGCTTTCTCCAGGGCGGGGAGGGCAGAGGCAGGGCATGAAGGGCGGTGGGGAGAGTGAGGCTCAGGTGTGGATCCTGGTCTGCAAGTGCCACGAGACGACCACGCGAGGCTCCACCCTCCTCTCACTGACTCTAAGAGCCGCAATAGGCCGAGCGCCTGGCACGTGGTCACGCCAGACAGAAAATGTTGACCTGGAATGGCTGAGCTGGTGTCCAGCACACAGGCTGCAGGGGCTCCCACCCAGGCTGCTTGGCAGAGGTCCAACAGGCCCAGGGGCTACCTGCGTCACCGCCTCCTTCTCTTCAACCCTGGGGACCTCTCTGAGCACAGCGGCCAGTCTCCTGACCCCGAGGGGGCCCGCCCTTCCACAACAGCAGCGCAAAACAAAGGCCACAGAGCTGCACCAGAGATGAAGGCGTCACCAATGAGGTGGCGTGGCTGCTGTCACGCCCTAAGCAGCACTTCAGAAATCTACCACGGGAGGTGGAAATGCTTCTACTTCTACCACCAAAAGTCAAGAGATGTTCTACCTTTGCCGAGACGGTGTTATGTAACATCGACACTGAGCCTAGTTTTAAAAAGAGTCTGAGAACAGGTAATGACCTTTTTTATAACTGAATTGAAAACTTTTGTTTTTAAGTATCATCTACACTTGATGGATTTCAGAAAGATGATGAACTATGCTTCACATTTGCTTCATCATGCCCACCAAGGTAAGTAATCAGTGCTTTTCTGTATTCCTCCCACTTAGTTTTCGGCACTCTTCCTTCCCACGCCTGAGGAAGAAGACAGGGCAGGAGCTCAGAAACAATGCTAACAACACAGGCTTCCCTACCCCATGGGCAAGATCAGGCCACTTCCAGAGCTCAGGGAGCTCCTGGCCCAGGGCCAGTCAGCTCCCTCTGGCACAGCGAAGGTGCAGCTCTACCAGAGGTCCTGGGGCAAACCTTGGCAGCCAAGCTCTGCACCAGGGACGGTGGACTGGCGGGGCCGCCGGCTCACGCCCGAGCTGGAAGGTCTGACGGCCGCAGCCCTTGCAGCTCTGCTGTTCTCCACACCACCCTTCCGGAGCTGGGGCACGGCGGCTGTACCCGAGCCACTTCCTGTACCACCTCAGGCCCTTCCACCTCCATAGAGTGTGACATGGGCAACCTGCCCCAGAGCAAGAGCTGACAACCAAGTCCACGCCGTAAAGTGTCCAAAAGCAAACACGACTCAACCATAAGCCTGACCACCCGGAGGACTCTGGACTCACCCAGCTGGGCTCAAGACTCTGACACACCCGAGGCGCAGCTGGGAGAGAGACTCAGCCGTGCTTGGGGCCGGGAAATTCCTGTCACCACCAAGAACAAAGCAGAACTGAGCCCCCAACAGCTGGTCAGCTGGTTCTGGGGACAGGAGCCATGACCCACAGGGCAGACTGACAGTGAGCGTGAGCATCCTGGGGGCGGGGAGGGGGGGACAGGTATAAAACACAAAGCCCTTTGAAGGTCAAGAAGATAGTAAAGATGTTAAAATTAGTTACTCAGAAAAAACTTCACTGACACAAAAACTGAGCAACATTGAAAACAGACAATACTGAGATATCAATTTTGAGAAAGACTCACAGAGAGCTGCTTAGGAGGACACTGTAGAGAGAGAGACAGGAAAATTCAATGTGAGGGCCCTGGCCTCCATGGAAGCTACTAATGCTATGTGTTGGCTCGGGTCATTCTTTAGAAAACCATTTTTTGGCAAAGCTGCACAATCTTCACATTGGGATTTTCACAATAATGGGGCTCTCATTATATCTCACACCCCATTATCATCACCAGAGGCTAAGCTGGGACTTCGAGGCCTCAGCGGTGTGTCAGAACATCGGTCTGGCCCTGTGCGCACACACCACAGCTGATGTGGGCGTGGCTGGGCGAGCAGGGTGACGGGAGGTGAGGGCTGGCGAGGTGTCTCCTGACCGGACAGACACACGCAGAGTCCCACTCTGCCCTGCTCGGGAACAGCGGCCAGGCACACGGTGCCATCTAGTGGCACCACTTGACCCCTCTCACAAATGGCTCCAGGGAAAGACCCACAGGAGCAAAACCAACTCTTAAATCCAGGGGTGAGGGCAGAGGAGGCTGGTAGGGGTGAGCATACTTCATGTTAGTGGACATGACATAGTCATCTCAAGAAAATATACTTTAAGAGGTCTTGCTTTCCCTAAGAAAGCAACTCTTTTTATTTAGAAAGGCTATTCATAACCATTTGTCAATATTTCAGCTTTAAGGAAAATAGTTTAAAAAACATAAAAATGTAAATACACTCAAGAATAACTGCTATTAAACAGTTCTGAACAGGCAGAAAATGTAGACTTTCCTTTTACAGAAAATGTTAAATCTGTAATAGCAGCATAGTTTATATATAGAAAAAAGCTGGTTCTGAAAACCCAGATTTTTTAATACACAAAACATTTCCCCCTATACACACAACAGCATTTCCGCTGGGAAATCCGTTTCTTCACATTATGGCACATCGCGCTGCCACACACACGCACACACACACGCACGCACGCACGCACGCACACCAGCTCATGTGTGGCCTCCAGCCCTGAGCGCTGCTCCCGACAGACTTCAATCCAACACCATGGCCGAGAGCGCATTCAGGTCTTTCATGTACGGATGGGCCACCAAGATCTGGTCAATTTTCAGTCTTTGCTCTGAGTCAGGGAAGATTTTCAGGAGGGCTTCCCTCAGCTCGCTGGTTTCCGCAGCAGATCTCTGTGCTGGCATGGGCAGGTTGTGCTGGATGCCGGGGAGGTTCGGCAGAGGGAAGTGGGGCTGCTGTGGAAGCCAGTGGCTGGGCGGGGTGCCCTGAATTCGGGCGGGAGGCTGGTGGCTGGTGCCGGCTGCCTGGCTGCCAGGGACTCTAAAGCTGGGGTCAAACATGCCCACACTTGGCAGGGCATTGAGCAGCGGCTGCATATCTCTGTGGATGTAAGCAAAACCTGGTGAGTTGGGCTGTAAAGATAAACTTGAAACCCTCTGAACTTTCTGCTGCTGACTTTGAGGCTCCAGATGCTGCAGCCTGGCTCCTGAAGGCAAGAGAGCGGGCTACAGGTCAGACAGGATGACGCTGACACATGTCCAGGCTGGCGGTGACGGGGGTGACAGCTCTTCATAAGTTGGTCCGCCCGCCCAGGCCTGTGCTAGTTTGTGCAGTCACCTGGCTCTAACTCAGGTGGTGTCAGAACTGCCTGGGAGTTCTCAAAAGGTACAGCCAGCAGGGTTCTCTCCTGGAGATCCCGATTCTGTGTGGGGTTGACAGGGCTGGGAGAATGAGACCACCTTTGGGCAGAAGTCCAACCATGGACTCCTCCTTCCCCGCCAACCCTGAGGTGCTGGCACCCATAGCGTGTTCGCTCGTGCATGTGTCGTGTCTGTGCACACGCACACGTTTGCATGATAGGGCATCTACTCAATAAAAAGCCTCCCACCTGATTTCTGGCTTACAGCTGAGAAATGGGACTGACCGAACGCTTCCCAACGTCAACCTAGACAGTAGTCCCTTACGAGGGGTTATCACTACCCTTAGTCAACCAGTTAAGGCCTTCGTAAAGAGAACTAGGGGAAGGGGAAGAGACCTGGCGGACCAACCCCACTGCCAGGGGGAAGAACCTGGAAACACGCCTTCTACACGCGGCGCCTTAGTGGTTGGGCCTTGGTGCTTAGACACAGGCCTCAGGAATGGAAGCTTGACAGAGGGTGTCCAAACTAAGGTATCTGGGTGAAAGATTTACTGACATCCAGCAGGTGTCAAAAGTGGCTGAAATTCTCTTGCTGTGGGTAAGAAGCAGGAGGGAGTACCTGCAATTCTTAGCTTCCACATCTATTATACCAGGGCTAATCTAAGGCAATTTTTAAAAATGCCATTTACTTGCTCTAAAGCCCAGAGAACTTTATTGAGATAAATTTGTAAATACGAGACAATCTGAGGAAGAAAATACCTAAGGAAGCCTTCCTTCCGAAGAAACTCTTCTAGTCGAGGTCCACTTCTTCCCAGAGGATCATCAGGAACCATAAATATGTCCCCCACGAAGGTATACTGAAGCAATCTGCAACACAGGACAATTAATGATGCTGGAGAAAACACAACACTTATACTGCTGCAAATATGAGAGCAGGTCTGAAAGGAGCAATCCAATCCCAAATCAGTGGTCACCTATATATCATTAAACTGTTTAGTTACCTAAAAAAAAAAAAAAAGGAAACATATCCAAATTATACTGTTTAAATGTCTCTTTTGAATACAAATACAACAGAGTATAAGAAACTTATCAGTTGGCCCTCGCACTTCGTATAAAGACCTCCAGAGTTTTATCTGGCCTTGGGAAGCAGCATCTAATAAAACACTCAAAAGTAATACTTAAAGATTGGCAGGTGAGGTCACAAGTGTCCAACAAAGGTTTGATTCTGAATCAACGCATACAGTTAAACCCATTGAAGATGACTTAAAAACAAAAAGGAAAGCAATATGTTGCATGAAGACCGCCTGAGATCTTAAGTATCACTGATCAGGTCTAGGAAAAACAAACGTCCTTGCACGCACATGGTGTCCAGACTTTGGTTTCTGTCTTATCTTCTGAATTCTGAAAGCACCAGGCTGGTGCTTGAGGCCTGAATGCATTTAAATCTTCCCTGGTTACAGATATCAGGTGCTAAATACTGACAGTGGGCTCAGGACAAAGAGCCACCAGAAGCATGTTCTAGCATAATAATGGCTTAACTGCCCAGCAGGTCAAAGACCAGATCTCAATTCAGCTATTAATAATAGTTTTTTAATATCACTTGGGTCAAAATACACGTAATAATTAACTCTCACCTGGGCACTTACAACAAACAACCAATCTAAAATCCTCCAGTGATTCTGAAAAAAATAAGTATCACACAAGGGGCAGCTGTGATGCCTCAATAGAGGTCAGTATCTAGCTGTAGCTGGCCGGGTGATACCTGTTTATAAAAAGTTCAGAAAGCCAGTGTTCATGAACTTAAGGCGATTTTCAGTAGTTGGGATATTACAGGATCATCACAAATAAAAAACTTCAAACGGTGAATGCTAAACTCTTGACCTTGCTGTTCTGGATGCTATTCAAACATTTTCAATACAGATGATTATATCACGACAAAACTACTCAAGAAAAACATGCATATCACTACAAACACTCCCTCCTCCCAAGAAGTGAAAGCCCAACGGCACCTGCTGGACCAGCTGTCACTGAGCAGAGCCTTCAGGGCCCGCGGCCGAGCAGAGCAGGGCGGCAGGGCATCTGCCTGGGCGTCGCTCGGCGGCGCTGACTATGCCACAAGGCTGCTCTGCTCCTCCGGAGGACGCCGGCCCGCGGGGCCAGCATGGATCACCCCGGCTGCGCCCTCAGGCTGGACCCGCGCACCCGGGGAGCCGGCCCTCTGCAGTCAGGCAGCACGCCAGGGGCCTGCACTGCTTTCCGCGGGCTAAAGGAGGTAGGCACAAAACACACAGTGCAAGCAAAACCAAAGAAGAAACAAAAATTGCTGACTAAAGACAAAGAAAATGTTACCTTTTCGTAATAATTTCTCTCCAAGAGACCGACTCATTGACAAATTCTCTGAAGTTATCATTTGTTACAATTATGCCACCAGTTTTGTCTGCCAAGTGTAGCAGAAACCTACGGTAATATAAGAAAAGTTAAAATGGGCAAGCAGACATACTTGGCTTAAAGCAGCTGTGTTGTAAGGCAAAAAGGACTTGACAGGAAAATCACAAAGATTTAACCAAGGCTGGAGCAGAACAGGCAAGGCCTGTCGATGAAAATCAATTTGAAATACTGAAATTACTACTAGAGTGGCTATACATGAAGCCTGGTTTCCAAACAACCTAATTATTGCTCGCTCATTTATTTATTTATTTATTTATTTTAAAAGAAATCTCAACCATTTTTCTAAAAGGCTATACACCATGATCAGTGGCAATAAGATAACGCATGAGGCCTTGAGCCGAGAAGGGATTCCAGTTGACCAGCTCGGGAAACCTTCATCTAGTTCAGCTGCCCAGCTGCTGGGCTCTGGGTCTACGATTAACTGTTGGTACAGTCAACCCTGCAATTATTTTCAGAAGATTCAGAGGTTCACTTTTCTATTCTGACTTAACAACAGTCTAGAACTGTTGCTGTTTAGCCCAAGTTAAAGGGAACAGAATTAAACATTAAGAAGACTTTTATTTTATTTCATTGCTGAAGATTATTCATGTTTCAACATTCGCATAATGAGAGATCTGTGAGGAAAACTCAAGTCTCATCCCCTTAGTCAGGATGAACCACTTTCATCTAAAGCAATGCAGACAAAGATAATGAAACAACAAATTAAGAAATTGCTGGCCCTCCCTGGTGGTGCAGCGGGTTAAAGAAGCTAAAGCCACTTCTGCATGAGTTCGATTCCCGCCTGCCCCAGAGGCGACCACATGGCTGGCAGACCTCTCCTGACCCGCTCGCTGCTCCCCTCAGCAGTGTACTTCGTCGATTTGCCTGTTCTGCTCCCCGCTCTGTCTCTGGTGAATTCTCTCACCCTCCGCATCTCTGGCCTGTAACCCAGTTCTGTACAAATAAATAAATCTTAAAAAAAAAAAAAGAAAAAAGAAATTGCTGGAATTAAACTGCAAACAACTGCCTTCATTAGCAGTAGTTAGCACTTAAAGGGGATCAAAAAACATGCCTTGTTAATTTCAGAGATCTTAGAAAACCTTGCTGACTTAAGTATGATTTAGCTCTTTGAATTTATTAATGACACTTTATAATCATAAATTATGTCTAACTGGCATATGTCGAGTTGTTAGTAGCAATATTGTCCAGTATTAACAAAAATAGGTGGTAAAATTTCTGGGTGCATGTACTATGGAAGGGCAAACATTCATGTATGCTGAAACTCAAGAGAATTTAGGGAGTTTAGCAAAGCTTAGTCTTCAGGGTCCTCCCTGGTGGCGCAACGAGTTAATAGTGCAGTACTATGAAGCTCTCCTCAGCCACTGCAGCAAAAGTTCCATCCTCAGCCAGGGAGCTTACCCACATGGTGTGGCAGACCTCGCCTGTCTCCCTGCTGCTCCCCTCAGCAATGTATTTCAGTCAGTCTGCCTATTCTGCTCCCCACTCTGTCTCTGGGGAATACTCTCACCCCCGCACCTCTGGCCTGTACCCCAGTTCTTGTATGTGTAAGTTAAAAAAAAAAATCTAAAAAAGAAAAACCCTTATGCCAGTACATGGGTTCAAACTCTGCTGGAGAACAGTGCTGTAGCGTTAATGGATCTGAAGACTCCTCATGCGTCCAGTGGCCCAACAATCACAGGGCTGGAACAGGTGCCCCACCCCAGCTTCCCAGCACTTTCTCATCTACACCCCAGATGAAGCTGCTCCTTTAGACCTAGTCCTCATGCACTCTCTCTCTTACTAACACCGATCTGGTCTCTCCTACCATCCTGGGGAAGGGGAAAGGGCTGTGAAAGGCACTCTGGGCCCTTTGCTGGGTCGCTATCCCAAGTCCCTGCCCCCAGCCAAGCATCTTTCTCTTGCACACATTTGACTATCGGTCATTCACTTGTGTTACAAACTAAATAAATATTGTCTTCAAGGTGGGGAAGCATTCTGGTGAAATGTTGGGCTGCCAGTCAGAATGAAACAAGGGGAAATTAAAGACAGGAAAGGAACAACAGCCAGCACTTCAGTTCCCACACAGTAGCAGACTGGACAACACTGTTTTGTTCAAGTATGGAACCTTCTTATGTAACCACAACAAAACTCCTCTATACGACCTATTTGTGTGCCTTCTCTGACCTCCTCCTATGGCAGAAATGTGGCAAGATCATATGTATCCCCAGAACCAGGCTCTGGGCATTAGATTCAGGTGATACTGAGTAAGGTTGTGAAAGGTACAGGTTAAAGCCTGTTGCTGTAGATGCACTAGCATCTAAGAAATGAAGCTTGTTCCTATTAGTCTAGGGTCAAGTAACCTAGAGAGGCCATCTTCTGTTATGTGGCAGAAATACTGAGGGCTCACACATTACCATGACTAACAAGTCACTGCTGGAGAACAGTGCTGTAGCGTTAATGGATAACCAGGAGATGTTAAAAAGCACTTATGATGGGGATGTGAACTGGTGTAACCATTACAGAAAGCAGTCTGGATTCCCTTAAAAAGCTGAAATCAGAAATACCTTGCAGCCCTACTCCTGGGTATATACATACTCCTGGGTATATACAAAGAATATGAAACCATCAACAAATGTTCCACAATGTTCACAGCAGCCTTATTTACAGAAACAAGGCAGACATTTTACAAAAGCCAGGCAAGGGCATGAAGTAGCCCAAATGCCTATCTACTGGTTCAAGAAGATGTGACAGATACACACATCTATGTTATATTGCCATGTGACATGAAGTATCACCATTTTCAACAAAATGGAGGAAATTAGAGAGAATTATATATAGCAAATAAGTCAGAACTATAAAAACAAATACTGGGCATTTATATAGCAAGCTGATGTGAAATGTTGAGAATATAAAACTAGTGGGCATTAATTAAATAAATATCCTAAGGGTTCTGAGGTTAAAGAGGGGAAGGAATGAAGTGAGGCAAAGAACACAATGACTGATGGGGGAGAAAAACTTTAAAAGGCTAGGAAATTTTATAGTTTTTACTTTGCTAATCTGTTAAATGTTTGTTAAAAACAAAACAGAATTACTCATGGGCACCACAGAAGAATGCAATCTCTGTTTTTACTTAAAGATTACCCTCCATGTTTAGTAGAACCAACCAACCACCAAGATCCTAATCCAAGAGCTTTACAGCAGCATTCCTAAACCCATCCAGCAAAGACCAGAGCATATATTCTCAGTGACCGTAAGTATCAAAATCTCCACTTGTAAGTAAAGTGGATCCTGTAAGAGTGTGTTCTAGATGAATGAACGACTAGCCACTGAGCAGGTGGCTGGCCCCTCAACACCCAGCACCCACCTTAGAAAGGAAAATGGCCTTTCATTTACCTGTCATCATGAGAAGCAATTCTCTCTCCAAAGACCATCCGTGCAGGAGTTAAAGATAATATTCCAAGCTCCTGGAGCTGAGTTAAGAAGTGCTGTTCTGTGAATACACATTCAGAAAAAGGTATGTTAAACAAAATAAACAAACATATCCCCAAATGTTGCACTGGGAGAGCTGTGGAAAACTACAACTGTATTGGTTCAACCAGACTCACTTTTACTAACTCAATGGGATGGGGGAAAAAAAAAAAGCAAGGCACATACTAAGGCAAATGCAATGCAAAAGCTGACTTGAGCCATTTTTTTTAAGATAGATAATAAAGTGGGGCTCTCCCTGGCAGCACAACGGGTTGAAGTGCTATAAGCTGGTCGTAGCCACTTCAGCACCTAGTTCGACCCCCACCAGGGGGTGACGCACAGCAGACCTCTGTCTTGCCCGCTGCTCCCCTCAGCAGTATACTTCATCAGTCAGCCTGTTCTGTTCCCCACTGTCTTGGTGAATCCTCTCACAGCCCCAGCACCTCTGGCCTGTACCCCAGTTCTGTATGTATAAATATACCAATATTAAAAAAAAAATAAAGTTCAACTCATTTGCTTCTCTAATTAGTAAGATCAGCCATAAATCTACATTTCATGACTCCTGTTATAAGCCAGTCACATCACAAGCAGTAGAGGACTAAGAGTGATGACAAGGGCCCAAGACAAAGGCGGGAGCAGGTGTACAATGGTGGCGGCAGCGCAGTGAGGGGCAAGCTGCGCTGCAGACCCCACGCCTGCCAAGAGCCCCTCTGGCTGGCATACTATCTACCCTGTCGCTCAGCGACACGCACATGTAGTTTCATGGGGCGGCCGTGACAAAAGGGAAAGGAGGACCAAAGCCACCTCTCCAAAACCCAGCAATGGGCACAAAGTAACAAGCTCCAAACAGATCCACACGTTACTCACCCTGACCTAAACTCAAGTGGTGCCTTGTGGTCCTCGACGTCACAACACATTAGCCAACACGATCCGATGGCCAAAACAACTACAAAACGAGGGAATCTACCTCATTCCTCAAAAACTTGTTGGGACAAATAACGGTGCTCACAATGAGGGAGGCTGAGATACTGTTTCCACCTCCAGAGTGGTTAAGTTTAATTTTCTCTTCAATGTGCTGGGTGAGTGTACATGCCCTTTCTTTCCCAATCTCCCCTTTATTTCTAGATCTTGCTGGTGTGCAAAGCCCCCTGGAACAGCCCTTTCACTTCCTGTCACGACCCAGGATAAACCAACCTTAAGTTTCTTTGGAATACTTTTGAGTCGTGTGTGGCTCGCAGGTCATACAATCTGTATGATTAACACAAAGGACTTATATATGAAGTTATTCAACAGCCCGTTAAAGTGATACTCTACTTGCGGATTACGAGTTTATCCAGTGACCATTTCCAAAAACACTACTTAAAAAGGCAGAATACCTAGGCCAATAGGAAAACATATTTAAAGAAAATGTTTATGATGCCTAATAAACTCTAACATTCTTTCTATATGCCCCAAATTATTTGGTAAGCTGCAACGCTCTCTTCAATAAATTTATTACTAGGGGCAAAGGATTTTGTCTTGTTTTTGAAACAGTTGACATACGGCATATGACCTATCCGAAGGCATTTTGCAATTAATTAACTGCATTTACTTTGAAATTAAGCACTTAATTAGAAATCTGAAAATAATTGGCTTGCCTCACCTGTGACATTAGGATCACGTCTTGTTCTCCACTGTGGGACAAATACAGTGATATTTCTGTTGCCAAGTTTCCAAAAATATTCAACTGCAATTGCAATTCCACGACAAGAAAAGAACTTTTTCAGACCATGTCTATAAGGAAAAAGGTAGAATTTATTTCAGTTTAAAGCATGTGGGAGCAGGTTTAACAAGCAAAAGGTAAAAATTCCACATACAACAAAACATCAAAATTCCCTTTTATACTCTACATTTTTTATATTACATCACATAGTTTGCTTTGCAAAGCCAAAACAGAACCTTTTGCAGCTGTGATTCTTAATAGCTTCATGATTTCTCTGGTATCTTTTACAAACTGGACTGTCAGCTGCAGTAAAGGACATTGAGAGATCCCAGTTAATGTGCGTTTATCACTCTTCATCGTTGATTTCCTAGATGAAGAGTCTATTCTAAAGAACCCTCTTGGTCACTGGCCTCTAAGAATGAAGCCTATTGTGGGGGCAGAAGCGCTGTGACTCTGGCTATCCCGTCCAATGGTCCTCACTCCGCAACCTCTTCAGGCCTTTGGCTCCAAAAGGGTTCACCCTCTTCCTGGGAAACCCACTCAGAAAGAAGGTGAGGTGTCAGGGACCTGCCGGGCCACAGGCTGTCAGAGGGCAAAACAGGCAGACAGGCCCTTAAGGTGGGAAGGCGGTCAGCCAGCGGAGATTCCAAAAGGGGGGGAAAGGGAGTGGGCGTGACATGGGAGTCAGAGTTGGGTGCAAATCTTCCCGCTCATGTTTTTAGCAGGTCTTTATTTGTACTGTTTCGTAAGTAGTTACAATAATGCATCAGGTATATTAATAAGAAATCAGCATAGAAGTTCCAAAGGAAGAGGGCACAATACATCCTCCTGATACTTTATGGCATACTAGACTATACATCTTTGAGATAACTTTCATGTATACGGATGTTTAACTATGACTTCAAAAGATAAGGGGTCTGGGAAAGGATGAGCTGTTAGCAAAGGATTTAAGGGTCCTAGGGAAGGCATAAATTGTGTTAGCAGAGTCATCAGTGATTGTCTACAGAAAAGCTAATGGCTAACTTAAGGCTAGCAGAGAATAGTGAGTATTTATTTTAGGAAAAGATTAATTAAGACTAGCAGGGAGTAGTTAGTGATTGTTATGAAAAGGGTAAATTAAGAGGAAGCCACAGTCATGCATTAAGCAAAACCTGTGTCAATGTTAGGAAATTGTCCATGAGTCCTTATGCCATAGGTGTTTTATCAGAGGTTTGCTTTTTGTTTCAAAAGACCAAGGAAGCTTCCCAGGAGTAATGTCGCTCTGGGTTGGAGGGGGGCAGGGGCGAGTCTTATCTCTTCTGGAGCTTGCCTTTTATCTCCTGACACAGAGGAATTTCCTGCCCTGGGCCAGCTTGAACTTTGTCCCAGCCAGGTAGCCAATTTATGAAGCTAAGGCAATCCAGTTGCAAACTGATGGTTGCTCAGAATAGTTTTGAAATTATGACTATACAAAAAAAGGAGGTCGTAACATAAGTTAGCAATGGAAATTCTGATTTCTCAGAGCTTTTCCCTTCCATTCGGAATTTGTCGGTCAACAGAAATTGCATAGCATGTGTCAGTGAGGGCAAGGATCTAGTGAAGCTGCCGGGAGCCAAACTAGTCGACTTTGTTGCAGGAAGCACCAAGGAGGGTGTGGAGCACACAGCACAGCACATGGGGCAGCCTACTTCTGCTGGAAAGGCCCAGATGCATTGTCTAGGCCATCTGGTAGGTCTCTGCTGCCCTACTCATCTTGCCAAGTGTATGTGCATGAGTGCAGCCAAGTTCCGTACTTACAAAATCAGGTGGTGGCCAGATCTGGCCCAGTTTGTGACTCCTGGTGCAGATTTAAAAAGGGCCCCCATGAATGGGATCAAAAACAGTGGGGAGAAGGAAGTGCATTGGATTATGGTGATGGCACACAGGTGCTTTGGTAATGGGAAGCCCATGGGGATTACAACTGAGATGGAAAAAGACACAAAACGATGTAAAAATAAACTACTATATTAAAAATAAAAAAAAGGGCTGCCTTCTAAAAATCTAATGTCTCTTCTCAAAAAAGAGGAGGAAATATTTAAAATATTCTCGAGCAGCTAAGTGAAAAGTAGAGATGTTTTTAAAAGGTAACTTTTAGCCTCCCTGGTGACACAGGAGTTAAAAAGCGATGAAGCCATCGCTACCCACTACTGCAAGTGTTTGATCCCTGGCCAGGGAGCTGACCCACATGGCACAGCAGACCTTTCTTTCTTGCCTTGCCTGCTGCTCCCCTCAGCAGTGTACTTCAGTTGATCTGCTCCCCATTCTGTCTCCTCTCACACCCTGCACACCTCTGGCCTACATCCCAATTCTTGTATGCATGAACAAATCTTTACAAAAATAAAAATAAAGAGGTATCTTTTAAAAGCCTGGAGGTTTATAAGTGGTAGTTAAATTGTCTGCCCACGTATATTAGAAAGGAAAACTAGCACACAATTTCAAACTGGGATGCCACAATTGATGAGTTTAGCATAATCTCCCTTCACCGCTTCAACAACACTATACTGCAATGACAGTAAACTGCTGCTACACGTCTGCTTTGCTACATGTCCAGTCTCCTTGCTAAATAGCTACTGCCTTCCCTCCAAGTCTTGCTACAGCAGGCACAGCGTGCCCTAGTCAACCCTGCAAGCACCAGCAGCCTGACTAGGAGGTGCAGCCGGGTGCCCTCCCAAGGCACTCTCCTTCGGGCAGATCTGCGCCACATAGTGGGCTTCGAGGTCTCTGCACTGTAGTGGTTAGAGGGAAACTGGCTAAAGCCAACCTCAACTTCCACTAGCACCACACACTCTCCTGGCTTGGGCCAGATGACCTTGTTGCTGCACTGTCTCTGAGCTTGTCCCTATGCTGCTTCCTTCCCTGTAGCCTCTTCCCTCAATGTCCTCAGAACTCATCTGTGATGCCACCTGCAGACACATGCCCTCCATGATCTCTTCTTCCCTCCAACTTTTATATCCACTGCGCACCAGAGTCACAGGCGAGAAGAGACGCAAAGATGGAATGAGGAGGGTATGAGGGAGGCAGGCAAACTGCATGAGCAACTTGGTAGAGGGTGAGTGGAACATGTGCACATATGGAAGAGGAAAAAGATATAATCTTCCCCCAAATTAAAATTTTTTTAATTAAAAAATAGACTATTACAAACGAATAAAAATACCACACAGACGACAGAAACCCACCCAAGTTACCCTGCCAGAGGTAAGTGAACTGGCAGAGACTGGGCTTCTGGACGCCTGGGCCATTCCCTTCCTATTTACCACCCACAGTGGCACTATTCCCAGCGAAATGTACTTCTCACAGAGCAGGGGCCATCCAACTACCATCTAACTTCCAGAGAGGTGTTCAAAATCTCCTGTTAGGGGCTAGTGCCCATTTTATTCTCCAGGAACCACACATAAGCTTTACAGACCTCAGAAAGCATGTAAATGAAAAAAAAAAAAAAATTCTTCATGAACCAATCAGTAAATGTTTATCTAGAAGCTTCAAAATATGGCAAGAATGTAGCAATATGACATTTGTTACTGAAAAAAAAAGCTGGGTAGTTTTTGTAGCCAGAATCTTCTTTTTAATCTTTAAAAACAATGAATCATCCCAATTGCTTAACAGTAAAGACAGGCCTAGAGTGAATGTCAACCATAGACCAAACATGAAAATCCAAAATAAAACAGCCCTCAGTTCTTAGAAAAAAGAAGGTACAATATGTGCTGAAAACAATACACTTAAAGTTTGTCAAGTGCCTCCTTGGCTTAGTCAACAGATACAGATGTGACCTCTGTTCTTTTCTTAAATTTTTCTGTGGAGGGCAACAGTAAGAGCCAAGTGGAAGGAGATTACACAGTTCCCACCACACTGGGTCACAGGTGGGGTGGGGTGGATACAAAGTTGATGAAAACTGTTGCTCTAGACCCCAGACACTAGCTTCAGACTAATTTCCAACATGTCTTCAGTTATAAGATCAAATCACCTTTGATTAACCCAAAAATATCATTAATGTTATTCATAAAAACAGCAGTTCAAAATATGTATTTACCGAGGTGTAAAGGCTTAAAGGGAGGTTTAAATTTGTTTCCACAAAACTTTAAACAAGTTTTACCACCTGGTTGTTCATACTTAGAAGTCAACTGGAAGGAAGAGCGTCCCAAGAAATGAGACAGATTAACAAAAACTCATGGCCGTCACAAACCAGCTGCGGCAGTACGGGGAAACAGGAAATGCCCCCCAGTTGCCTTGAGAAGAGAGCCCTTCCATAGCTTCCACTTGATAAAAATAGCCAAGGGGCCCAGACAGAGAAATGAGAGTGAAGAGTCTGAAAGACGGGTAAGACACACAGTACTGGCACCTTAGCGGGTAAACATCATCTACTTGGAAAATCATCTACCCAGAGAAGTCGGGGGCTCTTATGCTAAGTTTCAGACGGACAGAGCCAAGTGACAGAGCCAGTGATAGCAGGCCGCCGTGATGTCTAGCCATGTACCGCCAACAATTTCCATTTACTCATCAATTGACTCATTCATGGTGACAAGGGGGAAAAACCAAGTACAGATATGCATCAGCAGCGGCACCAAGTAGGGTTTTATGAAATTTCTCACAGTGTGTGTGCCACAGAGGCATATAAACAAAAGGCTCTGCAAAACCCTGGGACAGGTGGGCCCCTGTGACAGGTGAAGCTCAAACCCACAGATCTAGTGCTTAGGACTTGTATTTCCTTTTTAACTATTTCCTCAACTATTTAAAGTAAAAGGAGCGAGGTTAATTCATGGTACTTTAGCAACTCGAGAATTTAAGCATCCAATGTTGTCATGGCCTAAAAACTTGAAACTCCTGTGGAAAGAGAAGGAGCAAAAAGTAATACAGACACAAATGTGTACAATCCTGAATATGATTTAAAACTTAAGTCTTTTTATGACATGTAAATTATAGGTAATCTTTACCTCACAAAGCTAAGGTGGACATTAAGTTTTAAAAAGCAAATAAGTATAGTAGCTCATATTAACAGGTATTTAACCACTTATTTGTTGAATTAAATATATGGCCTCAGTTGAAATTCAATGCAAACTGACCACTGGAGTAATGGTTTAAATAGCAAATCATAAATGAGTAATGAAAGTCATTTTAAAAATCCTAATCTTTTCTTCCATTAGAATTTTATTAATTTGTCAGTCATATCATTTATATATAAAAATATATAAAGTTTGGAAACATAACTTTACACCTCAATATGTCTACATGATTCACTTGCCCCCCACCAAGGTCCCTCCTGCTCAACCACCCCACCAGTAATCACCATAGTTTTCAGTTTAAGAGTTACTTTTGTTTCTTCAGCTGTGTATTCCACAAAATTCCTAATTTTCACTTGAAAAGCCTTTCATTTTCTTATTTCACCTAGCATAATCACCTCAAGATTCATCCATACTGTGTAAAAGGACACTATTTCACCTCTCACCTCTTTTGTAGCTGAGCAGTATTCCACTGAGTATACCACAATTTCTAAATTTCTAACCTTTCTTTTATCTTCAAATCATTCAATAAATTGTTACCGACTGGTTACCACAAGCCAGGCACATGAACCCTAGGGGCAGTTCAGTGAATGGACACGAATCACTGCCTTCGTAGAATTTAGTACTTTATAATTCACATTTAATATTGAAGTAATTTATTTAGAATATGGGTTAATTTTTCCCAAACATTTAAAAATTTGAGATGAAATTCACTTAATGTTAATTAATCATTTTAAAGTGGACAAATCACTGGCACTTAGTAGATTCACAATGTTCTGCAACCAGTACTTCTATCTTGTTCCAAAACAGTTGGCACTCCAAAATAAAACCCTATACATTAAAAGGTTACTCCCCAGAGTAAGTTAATTTTAACTGCAAGTATTTTCAGATCAATATGCATTCTTCTTAGGATAACACATTCTAACGTTTGTGAATTTAAAGAAAATCGGAACCCTCCTAAAAGCAAGTTAAAAAAAAAAAAAAGAGGCCCTCCCTGGTGGCGCAGCGGGTTAAAGCTCAGCACTGAGAATCTAAAGCCGCTTCCTCTTGAGTTCGATTCCCGCCTGCCCCGGAGGTGACCACATGGCGTGGCAGACCTCTCCTGACCCGCCCACTGCTCCCCTCAGCAGTGTACTTCGTTGATCTGCCTGTTCTGCTCCCCACTCTGTCTCTGGTGAAGCCTCTCACCGCCCCTGAGCCTGTGGCCTGTACCCCAGTTCTGTATGCACAAATAAATAAATCTTAAAAAAAAAGATAATTAGCTTGTGATTTCCCTTAGTGATTAACTCACTGATTTCCAAAAGAGATGACACTGTACTCAAGGATGTTAGGAAATATGTAGCAGTGTACTGAGGTGTCACAATAACTGGGGGCATGCCACGCCCCCACACTATAGGCAAAGTGGGAGGGACTAAATATGCAAAACATCCTGTCATGGTTAGACAGCACCACCCTAAAGTCCGATAGTGATCCCTCTAAGAAATATCCTAGTTACTGCTCAAAAAGAATTTTTCAAAGTGTCACCATCACTGTTCATTTATGTTCATTTGCATTTCTTATTCTTTGAACATCAATCTGGGAAATCTTTCTACATATAGAAACATGAAAAAAAGATTAGTATTACTCACAATCATGACCTAAATTTTGTATCAGTTGGTTCAAGAAATTTTAACAATGAGGAACTTGTAATGGACTAAAGATTGTAGATGACTGAAATAGAATTTTGTATTTTTACTTAGATCTGGGTTTCCCCAAAAGAACTCCCCCCCCCCAAAAAAAAAAAAAAGAGAAATGACATGACAACAGACATTTGGAAACGAAGGCAAGCATACTGCATAGTTTTACTATCCTCAAAGCATAATATTTCAAATGCTGGACTCTTTCTTTTTTTGACAGCAAAGTGCAGCTTCAATAACAGAAAATAAAAATCAAGAGACTCCATGTACTTTAAAAAATTTGATACTAAAATGTTTAGGGAAAAATTACGTATGTGAGGTTTCCTTTAAAATAACACAAGAGGTAGCTGGTACAAATGAAACAATATTGGAAATGATGAAACAAAACTACTGACAACCTCCGAATTGGGTGGTGAGCACAATCAGCACTGGCATCATTATATTAAGTTGATCTTTCATTGTCTCTGTTTGAAAATTCTATCAAAATAACAAAAATAAGCACATATATTCAAACAATAAAAAATATCAGTTCAAGCTCATCAAATCTCCCTAAAACTCAGCACAAACTAATCTGTCTGAAATTCCAGGGAAGAAGTCATACACTCTGCAACTCAGAAAAGTGTTTCCACTTCCCTATTCCAAGTCCAGGGGCCCCTTTGCTTGAAATGCAGCTATTTTGCAAGACTTTGAAGACTTCTTCGAAATCAAGTGAGCGACTTATTTTGAAAATGGGAGTGATTTTACCTAGCAATAGCTGACACGGCACGATAAACTTAAGACTGGCCAAAGGCAACAGACTGCAGCAAAAGAAACACAACAGGCTGGAATTTGTCCATGATCAAAGGCTGGGGAGTGCAGGGGAGACCCGACACTCCCTCACACTCTTCTTAGCTACCATATTAAACTATGCCCTAGAACAGAAACCCAACCCCACACCTGAGGTGGAATGTCAGAAGTCTAAGAGGATTCCAAGACAGGTTAAATAGAAAAAAAATTATTTAAAACTTTTTACTAAAAGCAATAATACAAACTGAGTAAAAGCAGAAGCCCATAAAGAAGTTCAAACAGGTGAATTTCCTTCAGAAGGAAACTGCTATCACTGTACAACAAAAGCAAAACAGAGGAACACCATACCTGTTACTGCATACTCTTGATTACATACTGGCCAGATCATAACATAAACAAAAAAAATCTTGTTTGCAGTGAGCTCCATCCTCTTATTCAGTAACTACTGGAATTGGGGGAATAAAAACCAAAAAAAAAAAAAAAAAGAGTGCCTTTAAAAAGTCAGTCTCTATATTGCTTATCACTGGGCAATGCAATGTGAAAGCCAATTTTTCTATCACCTCTTACAGTGGGAAATACAGCTTCATCAGGGATAAGCACTGTACTGTACAACCCAAGATGGGATGACACAACTTCCATAAACTAATTGCTGTTTTTCCAAATAAGGCTACACACATACACAGGAAAAGTCCTATAAACACATGTAAGTATTAACACCCTGCCTGGAGCCCTACTTAAAAGCATAATGAAATCTGTGGAGCGAGCGTGGACTTACGTAATTGCAACATTGCTCCCATCTATAACAATATGCTTCAAGTCCGATCTCCCTGGTTCATTTTTTAATTCCAGCTTGTAGGGTACTTTCAGAGTATCTCGAAACCTTTGAACCCCGGTGACTGAAGAATCAATGGGATCCCAAGATCCTGCCAACCTTGCATCAGCAACTGAAGGTAACAGCTGGGGTGTTGGTGGAGAAAGGGGTGGACAATTTGGCTTAGAATGAGGAGAGCCACAATATCCTGGACGGTTTTCACATACAGACTTCGTATTACTTGGTGCAAGCAAGGGTTCCGCTTGCTGCTGTAGACCATTTTCAGGAAAAATTGTAATTCTGGGCTGGTGACTTGAAGCTCCTCTTGAAACGAAACTGACTACTTCTTTGGGGCTTGAAGGAGCAACACAGGGTGAAAGGCCATCGGTTTCAAGGTCTATGTTACAAACGTAGTTTGGGTTTGAACCCCAACTTTCTGGTTTCTGTTCTGCTGGCACTGTCCTGAAATTGTTAATTTTGCAATTTGAGGTACATGGTTTTGACTCTACTTTTAATGGCAACTGAGAAAATTTCTCTGTTGTATTTTGCTGTGTGTGAGTTTGTGTTTTCTTTGGAGTAGACTCTGTTATAAGCTCTTTTGTGTTGCTACAAACACCTTTAGTTTTGGTTTTGTTGGTCTCTGGATATGTACCAGTTGAAAATTCTCTGTCTTCTTGGAATCTTTTATTTTCCTTTTCAATTTCCTCTAAGAGCAGTAACGGTTCAGTGGCTGGACCATACTCTCTAATGACCTTTTCAACAATTTCTTGGGAATAACCCATTGTTTTAAAAAAGTTGACGAGGATATTGTATTCCATTTCCTCGGTAGTGTCTTTTACATCTGGACTTACATTTTCAGTATCAGCAGAAGAATCAGATAAGTCAATGATCACATTTCCAGCCGATATCTTACCCTCCTGCAAAAGCTCCCCCTCTTGAACATTTTCCAAAGAAAATTGTTTCTTGGTATGCCTTTCTTCAGAATCAGAAAATCTCCTTTTGTGACAAACTCTATCTTTGGAAAACGCTTCTTCATCTGGGGTTAGGCCATTTATTGGAACAGAAAGTACATCTTGTGAACTGGAAAAGATCGTGTCCATTTGTTTTGTAAGCTCAGAAACAGGAGTCCCAGCTGTATTTCTTGCATCTTCTTGCAAAACAGTTTCATCTCTGGAAATACTCAGTCCTGTGGCAGCATTCTGTGTGAACTCTGTTTGTTTTGAATCTCCAATTTCAACAACATCATCATCTCCTGTTTCACACAAATTCTCCTCACCTTGTGTGAGTGTCAAAAGTTCTTTTTTCAAGGAAGTAGGCAAGAGCAACAAGTCCACTGTGTAGTTGTCTGCACGAGCTTCAACAAATTGTTTAAATTCCCTTTTTACCTCTGACTCTTCCTGACTGCTAGGGAGGTTCTCATTATTCTCAAACAGCTTTACAAACTGTTGAACATGACTTCTAGCCATAACCACAGCTTCAGCACTTCCTTTGATGTCAAGCAGACCAATGTCTAGAATGCAGAGATCAGCACAGGTGTCCTGAATCAAGCTCTTCAGAAATAGGCTCTTGGCCCCAACAAAAATGCAGTGCATGGCTTTGGGGTAACATTCTCTTTCTTCAAGTTCAGGCTCACAGATCCCTTTAATATATTCCTGTAAAGAAGATAGAAATTAGATGAATTTACGAAATGTTTCTGTTACACATGTAACTGTTCAAACTGCCTAAAAATCAAAAGCATGCTATTCTTTTGGGGAAAATGCTACGTATTTTCTTTTAAAAGATTTATTACTTTATGTACACAGAACTGGGGTCCAGGCCAGAGGTGCAAGGGCAGTGAAAGGATTTACCAGAGTGGGGAGCAGGACAGGCAGATCAATGAAGTACACTACTGAGGGGAGCAGCGGGCAAGACAGGTGAGATCTGCTGTGCCATGTGGGTCACCTCCATGGCTGGGGATGGTACCTGTGCTGAGGTAGCTGTAGAGAGCTTCATAGTGTTGTGCTTTAACCCCTTGCGCCATCAGGGAGGGCCCAAAAAATTGCTGTGTTTTAAATAAAGATTTAAAATAACATACACCTTGCTTAATCATCTTCAGAGAAATCAAAAGCTTTGTATCTAGGTCTACAATGCAGGTATTTATAACAACATTCCAATATTGTATCTTACAATGTGATCTTTAGAGGTTTCCCAGCTATACAACGGATAATGGCCAAACTGGATTTATTTATTACATGGATAAAGAGACATCTTTGTTTGTCACTATTATGTATTACTATGACACAGTAAAGAGGTCAGATAATTATGTCAAAGTACTTGAAAACAAACCTTGAGTTTGATTTGCTACTATTGTCCTTGGCTTCCAGATAAAATAAATTGATCACTTAAAAATCAAACATATTAATTCAACAAAAAAAATTTCCCAGCTGGCTGGAACAATGTATACCCTATAATTTTATGGCTAGTTTTTGAGAAAGACCAGACTATTTAACTGCAGATCTAAACATAAAAAATCACAGTGCTAGGGCCCTCCCTGGTGGCACAATGGGCTAAAGTGCAGCACTACAAAGCTTCCCACAGCTACTGCAGCATGATATTTATGCTGCCCGCCAGGAAGGTGACCTCTCCTGACCCACCTGCTGCTACCATCAGCAGTGTATGTCAGTGGACCTGCCTATTCTGTTCCCCCCTCACCACCCCTCCCATCTCTGGCCTGTATCCCACTTCTTGCATGCAAATTTAAAAAAAAAAAACCTTTTTGACTGTTGGGTTGCTGTTTTATTTATTTTTAAATTTTTAAATGTATTCATTACATTTTTTTTCAATGTATGGTTTCCCCATGAAATTCTCACCACCAATTCACCCACACACCCTAACCCTAGTCCCCTGTGCTCTTCCCACCCCTGTCCTGGTCCTTCTCCCTCCTCCTCCCCTACAGAATGCCTCTGATCTATAGTTGCCTGATAATTTGGATTTTTAATTTATTATAGTTATTTTTTTCTCTATATTCCTCCTATAAGTGAGACTATTTGATATTTTCTTTTTCTTTCCAGCTTATTTCGCTGAATATAATCCCTTCCACGAGCTCCATCCATGCTGCTATGAAGGGCATGAGTTTATCTTTTTGATTGCCGAGTAACATTCCACTGTAAATCTTTTTTAAAATATCAGAGTGCTACAGAGTACTACCATTCTCGGATATAAAACTGAAGTGGGTTTCTAGTTAAATTTGGTATTGAAGGAGGACTGAATGAGGTAAGAGAACTAGGATTTTTAGCAATTAGGTTACTAATGAAAGCAGAGTGTTAAGCAAACACTTGTGTGCACACATACAAATAATAAAATTGGTAACTTGGGCAGGCCTTGAGGTGTTGCATGTATCAACAGTTCATTCCTTGCTACCAATGAGTACTATTCCACAATTAATCTACCGAGGGACAGACCCTCTAGTTGTTACTATTCGAGGCTATTAAAAATGAAGTGGGGGGGGGGCCCTCTCTGGTGGCGCAGCGGGTTAAAGCACAGCACTAAGAAGCTAAAGCCACTTCCACATGAGTTCGATTCCCACCTGCCCCGGAGGTGACCACATGGTGCGGCAGACCTCTCCTGACCCGCCCGCTGCCATCCTCAGCAGTGAACTTCGTCGATCTGCCTGTTCTGCTCCACACTCTGTCTCTGGCGAAGCCTCTCACTGCCCCTGAGCCTCTGGCCTGTACCCCAATTCTGTATGCACAAATAAATCTTTAAAAAAAAAAAATGAAGTGGGGCCCTCTCCAGTGGCACAAAGGTAAAGCACAACATTATGAAGCTAGTTGCATCCACTACAACATGAGTTTGATCCCCAGACCCTGAAGCAACCCACATGGCATAGCAGACCTCTCTTGTCTTGCCCACTGCTCCCCGGAGCAATGTACTTCATCATTCCACCTGTTCAGCTGCCCACTCTGTCTCTGGAGAATCTTCTCATCCTCTGCCTCTGGCCTGTACCCCAGTTCTGTATGCATAAATAAATCTTTTTTAAAACAAAAAAATAAAGTGGTTATGAACAACCATGTTTAGGTTTTTTTGTGGAACTAGATTTTAATTTCCTTGGGATAAATGCTAGATCATGTGTCAGAATGGCTATGCCATTTTACATTTCACTAGCAATGTCTTGCATCAGCAGTTGATACAGCCACTTTTTCGTTTTTAAGTTGCTCTAATAAGAATGTAGTGTATCTCATCACAGTCTTTGTTTACCTATCCTGAGCACCTTTTGCTATTTTCCATATACATTTTCTCTTTGGTGAAAGGTCTGCTTTAGAAAGTCCACTTTCTAAAAAGATTATTGGATTTTTCTGTGGAGTTTTGAGAGTTCTTTATATATCCCATCTGTGAATACTTCGCTAGATGTGTGACTTAAGAGGATTTTCTCCTGGTGGTGTTTGTCTTCAAAACCTCTTCACAGGGTCTTTGTTATCAGGAAAAGTCTGTAAGGAAGTCCAGTGTGTTGCTATCCCCCCCCCCATTGTCACAGGTCCCAAAGTTTTCTCCTATAATGTCTTCTCAAAGTTTTACACTGAAATCTATGGACCCATTTTGAGTGTTTTTTTTTTTTTTTTTAATTTATTATTAAAGAGGTGAGGTTTAGGTAAGGTTTATGTTTTCGCTTAGGACTCTCCAACTGCTCTATTACCATTTCTTAAAAGACCATCTTGACTGCATTGCTTTTGTGTTTTTGTAAAGTCAGCTGAAAAATTACATCAAAGCTGCATACTTCAAGTATATTCATTTTTTATCAAAAGTAAATTTAATTTTTTTTAAACATTGGGAAAAATATGTTGAGCCTGTTTCTGGGTTTGCTATTCCATCAATAATCTGTTCCTTTACTGGCACCATACAGTACTGGTTATAGTGATTATATAATGTCTTGAAATTGACAGTGATTACTTCCCACATTATTAAATTTTTTTTTAGCTATTCTAGTTTGTTCCTTTGCCTCTTTCCATCTAAAGTTTAGAATTATCTACTTCAGCCATTTGCATATTTGTTAACTTTGCATACTAATTCGAGGAAAACTACCAGCTATGGAGTTCTGATGCACGAAGATGGTCTACCACTCGTTTCTTTAGGCCTTTGATTTCTTTTAACAGCATTTAAGTTTTGAGCATACAAGTTCTGTATATGTTTATACCCAAGTATTTCAACTTTTAATTATCATTCATGTACTTTAACTTTGGTTTGTGTTCACTGCTTGTATATAGCAATACAATTAATTCACTTTTGGCTATTGATCACTTACCCTGTTATCAAGTCAAAGTCATGTTTAGCTATATAAGCCTTTCTTGCATAGGAAATTCCTCAGAATTTTCCATGCAAACAATTATGTCATCTACAAATATATCTTTTTTTCTCTGACAAATATGCCTTTTATTTTTTGCCTTAATGGGCTAGCTAGAACTTCCAGCTCTGAAGAGTAGCAGGAGAGCTGGTATGCTTCCTTTATTCACAACTTAAGGGAGAAAGCGCTCAGTCTTTCATTAAGAATGTTATTAGGGCCCTCCCTGGTGGTGCAGCGGGTTAAAGCACAGCACTGAGAAGCTAAAGCCGCTTCCGCATGAGTTCGATCCCCGCCTGCCCCGGAGGTGACCACATGGCATGGCAGACCTCTCCTGACCCGCCCGCTGCTCCCCTCAGCAGTGTACTTCGTCCATCTGCCTGTTCTGCTCCCCACTCTGTCTCTGGTGAATCCTCTCGCCGCCCCTGAGCCTCTGGCCTGTACCCCAGTTCTGTATGCACAAATAAATAAATCTTTAAAAAAAAAAAAAAAGAATGTTATTAGATTTTTTTGTAAAATGTTCTTTATCTTGCTGAGAAAGTAATCCTGTATTATTATTTTTCTAGGAACATGAACATGAATGAACACTGAAAATTGTTATACCAATTAACATACTATGGCAGTCCACTGACATGGTAGATTACATGGACTGATTTTTAAATACTGAAATAGCCAGGGAATAATTGCCTTTTGGTCAAGATGTATAATTACCTTATACATTCATGAAGTCTATTTGTTAGGACATTTCTGCATATTTTGTAGCTATGTTCTTGAGGGATTTGGGTCTGTAATTTTCCATTTCTGTGTTCTTTTGTCTGGCTTTAGTGTTAGGATAGTACTATTTATGAAATAAGGGCAAAAAGGAGTGTCCCTTACATTTTTCCGGAGATCATATAGAATTGACATTAGTTCTTTTCTAAACATTTTGTAGATGTCTGCAGTCAAACAACTTTGAATTTCACTTATGAGAATTTCAAGCTTGTTATTTCTATTTTGCATAGTGAGTTATGGTTGCCTGTACTTTCTGAGGAACTGATTTCATGCAAGCAGTCAGTTTTATGTATAAAGTTGTTTGTGGTATTTCCCTGTTTTGTTTTTTTCATGTAATTTATATCTTCTCCCTTCAGTGTTGCCAAGAGATGTCAATTTTACTGATTCCCCCCCAAAGCACAAGTTTGTTGTTTCACTTATTTTCACCAGTTTCTGTTTCTAATTTCAACAACTGACACTGTTTCCCTCCAACTTATGAGATTGCTCTTCTTTTTCTAGTTCCTGCAGGTGGGAAATGATATTACTGATTGAAACTCTTCTTTTTAAATCTACTACATATGCTGTGAT